TATCAGCTAATTTAACATCAGCATCAGCACCAGTATCCTCAGCATCAGTACCAGCATCATCACTTTCATTATCATATCATCATCATCATCATCATCATCATCATCATCATCATCATCGGCAGCAGCAGCAGCAGCAGCCTACGTTATAGAAGAAAGCAGGGAAATTCGATCTGGGCACATTCTCAAAGCAGGTGTTTCCAATGCAGCCAAATGAGGCTGCACATAGAATTTTGTGTTCTGAAAAATTGCCATGGTAATCACACTGTTCTTCTTCATTTGGCAGCTTATTATCTAGCAGTCAAAGTAATTGGGGGAGATTTTTGTTTCTGTGTTACATGGATCTAACAGTGGGAATATCAGGGAAAGGGATGGAGGGAGACAGAGGCATCATGCTTCAAGGCTTGGAAGAGGAAGAGGCAAAGAGAGAGGTAGAGACAGAGAGGAAGAGGGAAAGAGGGAGGGAGGGGCTGAGTGAAGGGAGGGCAGGCACAAGGGAGGGAGGAGGCAGAGCAGAAGAGAAGAAAGGAAGAGAGAAAGTGGAAGACAGAGTCCAGCTGATGCTAACAGGAAAAGATTGGAGGATGCGGAAAGGCGGAGGCTTTGGGTCCCCGAGGGCATCAGCCCCAATTGAGAGGCAGCTGGGCAGAGTCTAATCAGGGCCTGTGGTTGGCAGGTTCCCCAGAGAACATCTGTGTCTTTCCTCAATAAGATAAGGTTGCAGGCAGTTTCCCTTTGAGCCTCAGAAGCCCCTACAGGGAGCAGCTGAGTGTCGAGACAGCACGCAGACACTGTCCTCTGATCTGTGGCTGTTGCACATCCAGGGGGCCCAGGTCATCTACTGGAGGGGGAAGATTCCTAGTCTGACTCAAGCTACATGCTTCCATTTCAAAGCACATCGTTGACTTTTCCTGGAGAAATAAGGATATGGCCATCAGGACAACCGAGAGCAGCGGACACTTATGAACTTCACTTTCCGTATGATGCTCCCACTGTGCCTGCAGTAGATGATCAAGACAGGGCCAGTAAATCATCACTGAGTTGTCACTGAGGACTTGATTCACTTATTACTTTATGTGTATGAGTGTTTTGTCTGCATGTATGTATGTGCACTACATGCATGCCTGGTGCTTGAGGTCAGGAGAGGGTATTGGATCCCCGGGGACTGGAGTTACAGACAGCTGTGGGCTGCTGGGTGCTGGGAATCTAACCATGGGGCCTCTGCAAGAGCAACAAGTAAGCGTTTTTACTTGCTGAGCTAACTGCAGCCCCATGGACTTGTAAGGATCTTTGCTCCCATTCAGCAGGCTAGGTCAATCTGAGAACTCTGCCAGCTCCTCCAAAGGACCTCAGGTACGGGGACTAAGACACCGAGAGTGTAATAGCTCAGTTAGGCTCAACCTGGTTGCAAAGCCTTTCTAAGATCTGCAGGACCAAGAAGGCTTGAGGTTTGTGGACTATGCTCCGACTTGGCTCATCAGCCCCAGCCAAGGTGATCATGGAGGGAAGGGGGGTTGATGATGGGAGTTGTCTTTAGATAGGATTGCCCTGCTAGTGTGTGAAGCGAGTCCATTTACACAGAGTGGAGAGCAGAGCCCTTGACAAAGAAGCAGAGAGCCCAAAGCAGGAGGAAACGAGTCCCAGTGACATTGACTAAAATCCTGGGTTGACCTCTGTCTGAACCAGAAAGCATTTGTTTGGATTTGAGGTCCCCCAAAGGCCCCTGTGCTGAAGGCTTGGGTTGCCATATGGCAGTGTTGAGAGGTGGAGTTCTGGGAGGCGAGTGAATCCCATGCACTCTGGGTTTGTTCACAGATGGATTCATATATAGTTTTAGGAGTTAATGAGAGGTGATGGAAACAGGGAGATGGAGTGTGGTTGGAGGAGGCTGGTCACTGGAGCTGTGACCTTAAAGAGGGTCCTTGCTAGTGGTCTACCATGAGGTGAACATCTTTGTCATGGTCTGTCTTGCCACACACCCAGAAACAATGGAGCCAATCATCCATGGACTGAAACTTCTGAACCTGTGGGCCCAAAGAAATGCTTCTTCCTTTGTGTTGGTTCTCTCTCTCCCTCTCCCTCTCTCTCTTTCAGTGATAGGGTGGCTAAGTGGTACTGGCAGCTCCAGGTTCTCTCTCTTGTTGCTCCAGTTTCAGGGGATCCACTGTCCACTTCTGGACTCTGCAGGCACCAGACAGGCATGTGTGCATACATACAGGCAATACCTATGCACATTAAACTTTTTAATATTTTTTGTTAGACAGAGTCTCTCTACATACCCTGGCTGTCTTGACACTCACTATGTAGAACAAGTTAGCCTCAAATTCACAGAGATCTATGTGCTGGGATTTAAAGATATGTGACACCACACCTGGCTTTAATTTTTTTTTAATTAAAAATATTTGAATGAGGACTAGAGATGCAGCTTGGATACTAAGGTGCTTGCCTAGCATGTATGAGGCCATAGGATTGATTCTTAGCAACACACAAACCAGATGTGTATGTATGCCTATAATTCTATCACTGAGGAGACAGGATTGCCTACCAGTCTGAGACCAGCCTTGTCTATACAAGTGAGTCCCCAGCCAGACCAGGAACTGTTTCAAAAAACCAAACCAATCAGAGAAATAATGAAAACCATACTTTTTGTTGCTAATGCTTTGAGATAGGGTATTACTGGGTAGCTCAAGCTGGGTTCAAATGCATGGGCCTCTGCCTCCCGAGTGCTGACAGCAAGACATCTTAAGGATGGAAAACAGACACAAGATTAGGAACCATTATTCTGATTTTTATTTACATAAAATTTGATACTAAAACTTAAGAGTCCTCTTGTGGGAGTGCATACATGTTTAGTGCAGACTCTAACACTCACAGCAGGGTATGGTCCTTTCCAGTGTGTCAGTCTGCTAGAGGTGGAATGGGGCTTTTTCTCCCTTGAGTCTTCACATGGGGGTTTGTTTGGACATTAGAATGTAGGAGAACATGTGTCTGACTTTTAGACCCCAGTCTAGCCCACTAGACATGACAAAGGCAGCCAAATTTCTCTGGACCAGCCCAGCCTCCTCCACGGGACGCTGGGCTTCAGGGACTGCCCAGCTCACCTCTGTGTGGCCTTCCAAAGAAGTCATACCGGTTGCTTTAAATCACTTAGTTGCCATTATTTCACTTTCCTTTTCAGTGATGGAACTCAGGCCTTGTACACGCTAGGCAAGTGCTCTCCCATGATACTGCATCTCCAGTCTTTTTATTTTTTATTTATTTATTTTTTTTAAAGATTTATTTATTTATTATGTATACAGAAGAGGGAACCAGATCTCACTACAGATGGTTGTGAGCCACCATGTGGTTGCTGGGAATTGAACTCAGGACCTCTGGAAGAGTAGTCGGTGCTCTTAACCTCTGAGCCATCTCTCCAGCCCTTATTTTTTATTTTTTAAGACAGGGCCTCAGGTCTCAGTATCTAACTCAGACTGGCTTGAAGCTCACTCTCTTCCTGCCTCTGCCTTCCCAGAGAGCTGGGTTATAGGCAGGCATCACAGGTGACCCCATCCACTAAATTTTACAATCAGGAAGCAAAAGCTGAGACACCCTAACCCTGATTTCTCATGGCACAGCACATCATTTCTTCCACATTCTTAAAAAATCATTTAGCTGGTTTTTGAGCCAAGGTCTCACGCGGCCTCAGATCAAGTGCTAGGGTAACCGGTGTGCCACCATGCCTAGTGATGAAATATTTATAAGCTTCCTTTGGTTGCTGACCCCGGAGATCAACCCAGTCAGCTTAAATAAAAGGGGAATACAGCGAGAAGGTTCCTGGGGCTTGGTGAGGGGTAGGGAGAGAAGTCTGGCCTCTGCTCTTAGTGGCAGCTTCCTTAATTCCTGTTTCCTACCGGAAAATGGCTCTGGACAGTTCCACGATACTAATAATCAGTTCAGGTTCTCAGGACAGGGCCTAGGCTGTCCTTTGAACCATCCTGCAGGCTTAGTGTCTTACAGTCAGGACTTTAAGAAAGTATCCAGGCAGGACTAGACACATGGGAATAGTTCATCTGAACTGCAGAAATCTCAAGAGTTAATCTGCCAACTAGAAATGGTTACACATCCTGGCTGGGGCCTGTATTTTGAACTACATTATCTTTCCTGAATGCCTTTCCTTTCAAACCCTCCCTGCAGCTACTTACTGATCACCATCAAGGCTTCTTACAAAAGCAATCTGTAGAGCAGGATTGCAACAGTAACAATCCTGTAACACTGTACATTTTGACAGAGCCCAAGCCAATCATTTGCACCAGGTCCTTGAGCAGGCGCCGGGGTTCGGGGGTTCGGGGGTTCGGGGTGTTATTTAGTGTTTTTTTTTTTTGTTTGTTTGTTTGTTTTTAAACAAAAGTTGGCCTGTAGATGAATAAGGACGAGGGCAGGTGAGGCGGCTTACACCTGTGATTCCAGCACTCGTGAGGTTGAAGCAGAAGAATCAAGAGTTCAAGACCAGCTTGGACTACGAAATGAGTTCTAGGCCAGCCTTCGATACATGAGATTTGTCTCAAAAAGGGGGCGGGGGAGAGGAATGTATTAAAATAAGAAAAAACAAAACAAAACAAAAAACCCTAAAGGCCTGAGTATCCATCCTAGCGTTGTGAACAAAAAGGAAGAGTGACACATGATTTGGGTCTGGCCCAGGTGCCGGCTGCTCACAAGCGCAGGTTGCACCTTCAGCTGAAGCCTGTTCCCGAGGGCGCCAGTAGCGAGTGGGCGAGCGAGCTGGGGGTTCACAGCAGCGCCCCAGGAGCGGGCGGGGGCCCAGCGGGCGCGCGGGGAGGTGCAGGCTTTAGGCTGGGGCGGCGCCTTCGCCTCCGGCTGCCGTAGGACCGCCGGGCCGCCGCTCCATCGGCGACATCTTGGTGGAGGACGCGCTGGGGGAAACGCTGGTCACCCAGTAGCTGCTGCGCCACGATCTCTGCTGACCTCCGGAGCGCGCAGGATCGAACGCGCAGGCGGTAAGGCTGCTGCTCCCGGAGTCCCCACTCCCCGCCCGGGAGGGTGCCTGGGGACCCAGATACCCGGCCTTGCCACCCTGAGTCCGGTAGTCTCCACCTCTTGCCGGTGGAGCGGACCCCAGCCCTACCACCTAAGAGTACCACTCATCGTAGCTAGATCGAGTCTCCTGGAAGCCCTCCTGGAACCCCGCCCCCGCTGCTACCTGAACCACAGGGCCCTCCTGGCCCGAGACTCCGCCCCCCAAGGACTCCGCCCCTCTCCCGGAATCACTCCGTCACAGACCCGCCTCCTCCCCGCCCCTCTTGGCCCCAGCCTCCGCCCTCCGGTCCGGGCGGGGCTCCGAGTTTGAACCGCGCGGCGGGCCGGGCTTCTGAGCCGGGTCGGGCCCATAGGCGGCGGCGCCGAGCAGGCAGTCTGCGGCGCGCGGCACCATGTCCCCGGGCAGTGGGGTGAAGAGCGAGTACATGAAGCGCTACCGGGAGCCGCGCTGGGACGAGTATGCGCCATGCTACCGCGAGCTGCTGCGTTACCGCCTGGGCCGCCGGCTGCTGGAGCAGGCCCACGCGCCCTGGCTCTGGGACGCTTGGGGCCCGGACAGCCCCTCAGACAGCTCGGCTTCCCCCAGTCCGGCGCCCAGGGGCGCGTTAGGGGAGCCCTCGGCACCTTCCGCGCGGGAGGAGGAGCAGACGGTGGGGGAGCGCGGATCGGAGCTGCGGGGCGCGGAGGTTGGGGACGCGGAGGAGCACGACACAGTGCTACCAGGTACGGGCACGGCGGGTCGCTCCGACGACTGAGCTGCGCGTTTCTCCCCTCTCCCGGCATGGCTTCCTGTTTTGTTTTGGTTGAGGTTGACAGAATCCGCTTGCTGAACTAAGAGGGGAAGGTGCTGCCCGCGTCTCCGCTCTCCCCTCCCCAGATTTCCCTAATTTGGTGACTCTTGGCGGAGCCCTTTATGACCTTAAGTGCCCACCCTCCTCACCCCATCCCCAGGTCAGGGGTCCTTGGTCGCAAGGCAGTGGCCGGCTCAGTGAGCCCTCGATCCACCGGGATGGCGGATCTGCTTGTTTCTGCGCATCCCTCTTGGCTAGAGGAGCTTTTCATCCCCAAGATGACCCACGAAGTTAAGAACCCCTGAGCTGTCATAATGGGGTCATGGTTGTCTGTGTGAACTCCTTGGCCTGGCCGCGTTGTTTCTGAAGAATGGTGTGCGTGTGTTTGTGGACGAACCCTCTTTGTTTACGCGGGTGCCAGCCGCGCACCCTGGTTAGGCTGTGAGCCACTTTTCCCGCTGTTGCGGAGTGGGTCTGTCAGCGGAGAGGCCTGGAGGGTGCTTGGGCTCAGGGCGGTGCTAAACTGGAGATCACTATGGTTGCCAGCCACCTCCTCGAGATCTTATGAGAATCGCGTGATAAAAAAGTTATTAGTCAGCCACTGGTCTAGAAATACGTATTTTCTCACCAGACCTTCAGATAGTTATAAGATGGGGCCTTTGTTTTTAATCTCAGTTTTGTAAACAAAGACCTGGGAGCTTGGGATCCATGGTCAGAGTCTGAAAGGCTCTGGTTGCTTTTGCTCTTGGTTACCCTGTTTGCCTATTCTCAGTTCCTGCATGGCCGGGCTGCGTCCTGTCATCTGGTCGCTTGTGACGACCACTCCTGATGCTTCAGTGGTGTGTTTAGAAATTAGAGTGTCAGAAGGTGATGTGTGTGTCGGGTGCGGCTAGGAGCATGTCTCCCAGTTATCCGGTGCTAACTGAGCCCCTGCTAACGATGAGGTTTATTTTATCCGGATGAATACACGGGCTTTTCTTTTTCCCTCCGAGGTTTGATGAGGTTACCCCCTAGCTGTGTGTGCTATATGAAAACTGTTGACAGTATTTTAGTGTGCCTGGTGCCCGTGTTTGACTACTTAGGAATGCCCCAGTTCATGAGTATTTGGGTTTCCATGGAGATACTGAGTCCTTCCCAGAGATTCGCTAAATCCCTGCTAAAATTTTTGGTGTGTAGGCATTAGGGAATATAGATGTGTCCTGCTTTGGATTCTCCATCGCCAGCTCTTTTGCATGGCTCCTGTGGGCCAGTGTCACTATGAGAAATGTTCCTGGTGGATGCTTGCATTGCTCTAAAGTACATTTGCCTTACTTGTACTGCAAGCCACTCTTCCCCCTCCCCCCAAGACAGGGTTTCTCTGTGTAGACCTGGCTGTCCTGGAACTTACTCTGTAAACCAGGCCGTCCCGGAACTCAGAGATCTGCCTGCCTCTGCCTTCTCAGTGCTGGGATTTAAAGGCTTGGGCCACCACTGCCCGGCTACAAGGCAGTTTTGCATGAAGAATTTTGTAGCTCCGCAGAGCTTATTACAAAATCATGGTGCCCTCCAGCAGCTGCCTACTTCTTAGGTAACCTGCTTCTAGCTCCTCTGCTTTTTCCCTTCTGTGGTATTAAAGATTGAATTCAGGACCTTGGGCATGCTAGGCAAATGCTCCATGACTGAACTACATCCCTAGTTCTCTTTGTATCTTTTGTTTTGAGGTAGGGTCTCACCAAGCCACACTGGCCTTGAATGTCCTCTGTAGCTCATGCTAGTCTCAAATGGATGATTCTTCTGTTTCAGCCTCCTGAATGAGTAGCTGGTATTATAGGCCTGGGCTACCAAGCCCAGCCTCTTTTTATTTGTATTCTTATTTTGGGGCCAGGTCTTATGGTGTTGCCCAGGTTGGCCTCAAACACCTGGGTTAAGCCACCCATTTGCCCCAGTTTCCTGAGTAGCTCAGCCCACAGGTGAATGTCATCACGCGTGGCTGGTATTTACTTCTATATACCTTTATGGACACTAATGGATATCCACCCGCCTTTTTTTGTTTGTTTTTTTTACCTTGGCTTTTATTTCTACTCTCCTAATACACACGTCTGTTTCCACACACTCTTCATAGCCAGCACATCTGTGTGATACTGGGCCCATGGCAATGGAGGAGTGCTCAAAGCTGACCCACTTTGCTTCTCTGGGTCCTTTTTCTTTCTCTCACAATGTGGCCAATACAGTGGTTCACCATCACACTCACCTTAACTCGTCCCTCGGGGCCACCGACCTACTTCTGTCTGGCCTGCCTGCCGTCCTTGTGGCAGGCCTGACTGCCGATTGTTGTCTAAAGAGGGGCCCTGACATTACGTCAGGCACTGCCAGCTTCTCTCTCGCAGATGGGAATCACTGTCATGTTTTGACTTACCTCCTCACGGGAGGGGTCATCTACCTATCAGCTTAAGAAAGTCGAATTTCTGAGACCACTGTTTGAAAAGGACCATACTTTTCGAGTTTATGATGATGGTTCACTGTTTCTAAAACATCTGGAAGCATTGCTTCATTGCTGTGACTTCTGATTCTTTTGTTTGTTTGTTTCCCGAGACAGGGTTTCTCTGTATAGCCCTGGCTGTTCTGGATCTCACTCTGTAGATCAGGCTGGCCTGGAACTCAGAGATCCACCTGCCTCTGCTTCCTGAGTGCTGGAGTAAAGGCGTGTGCCACCGTTGCCTGGCTTGACTTCTAATTCTTGATCCATATCTATAACTGTGCTGAGGGGGGCTGTTACAATCTTTTTTCTGTCCTGACTCTCAGGAATTGATGTGGGTTACCTGAAAGTCCCTACAACCAAACTCTTAAATTTTGTTTTCTTTATTTTTTATTTTATGTGTGTATTTTACTTGTATATATGTCTGCGTACTGTGTACATGCAGTACCCTCAGAAGCCAGAAGAGAGCGTTGTATCCCCTGGAACTGGAGGTTGTAAGCTTTCAAGTAGGTGCTTGGAATAGAACCTGGGTCCTCAGGAAGAGAAGCCTATGCTCTGAACAGTTGGGCCACTCTCCAGTCCCCAATTTCTCTTTTTAATTCTGGGGAGTCTTCTTGAATTATTATTATTATTTTAATTTCATTTCATTTCTCCTTTTGGGGGGTTTATGAAGTGGAATTAAAGACTTTGTATAGCTTGGAAAGCACTGTGCAACTGAGCCTCTAGTCTATTCTTTCTTTTAGAAATTTAAAAAATGGTAAATAAAAGCCATAGACATTGATGGTTCACCTTGCGGTGTTTCCACAGGTGTATACAGTGTGTAATGCCGAAATCAAGTCAAGCATGTGCGTCATTTCAAACGCTTGGCAGCTCACTTGGCAGAGGGCTTATTTCCATGCACACAGCCCTGGGTTCCATCCCCAGCACAAACACATGTGGTGTAGTGCATGCTTGTAATTCCAGCACTTAGGTTGAGGCTGGAGGCTGGGAAGTGAGTTCAAGGTCAGTCTGAGAAAGATCCATGAGACCTTGTTTCAAAGGGAAAAAAGTATCAAGTTTATTGTTTGTGTAATTTTTTTTTCTTTCCTGTTTTGGAGACAGTTTTCCTATGTAGCCCAGGCTGGCCTAAACTGACTCCTCCAGGTTCTGGGAATCACGGGAGGGCACTGCTCCCTGCTTGCGAAAAGTATTAGGTTCTTGATGAGGGTACACTGTATTTTTTTTCTTGTAAAAGAGATATTTTTAGAGGGTTTTGTTTCTCTTTGTGTGTATATCCTCCCCTTTTTTGCTTTGTTTCTTTTTGCTTGTAATTCTGTATTGCTCTCTGGAGGCCTTTTTTCCCAGTGAATGGGATCTGCTGGCTTCTTTTCCGTATTTGAGAAATGGCTGTGATAAGTTCCTTGTAAGTCCTGGGTGCCGAGTTGGAGGTGGGAGTGCTGGGTTAGCAGGAATTCTGTAACTTGCTAGACATCCTGCTTTGAAAGATGGTGAAGACGGCTTCCAGATTTATTTTTGTAATACTGGGGACCCACCACAGGGCTCCTCCATGCTAGGCAAGTGTGTCACTCTGGTCCACAGCAGTGACAGTGTCCAGG